AAGAAAATAATTATTAACTGCTCTATGTTTGATTTAGAGCAGTACAACAAATAAAAAAAAATAATAATAAATGTATTTAATTATATCACACACACATACAGACATATAAAGCCCTAATATTATTACTTCAAAAATTCATAGCTTACATTCGATATAGCCTTATAACCCAATATTAATAGATACTTTTTTTTCCTAAACAAAAACAAATATTGACACACTATCTTTGTCTTAAGAGTTTGAAAAACGATGTTAACGAAATAATGAATTTTCTTATATTGAGTCGAATGTGGTTAACGTATAGTTACATAAATTATTCGTTGTTGAAATTATTTAATTTTTTATTTCATTATAAATTGTTATAAAAGAGATTTTGCAGAAAATGCGGTTTTAATTTTCTTTCGACTTACACCTTTCAAGGATCATACGAATGGCAACGTCCAGAGGAACCAGGACCAAAAAACACACCAAATTCAATCAATCAATAAAGAAATACTACAATAATATAATGTGCTGTTCACACGAATCAATTCGCCAGAAACGAACAGAGTTGCGGAAAACTCAATTCACGATTTTGCACCGTGAAAGCGCACCAGCTCACACATTGACGGTTGGGTGAGCATTTTTAGTCAGAAATAAATCCATTATCATGCTCAATCACTGTATTCACCGGACTTGGCCCCTACTGGATATAGACTCTTCACAAAACTGAATATGCAGGACTGAATGACAGGAAAGTCCTTTGCTTTAATTGAGGATATAGAAGACAAATCAAAACCAAAGCTACTGGATATACCATAATACGCGTTTCGCAAGTGTTTCGAATCGAATGAAAATTACTTTGAAAAGGTCAAGAAATTTATTGATGATTAACCCTTTATGGCCCAATGTTGCCCACGAGCATCAAAATGTTTTAGAGCTTATAATTATTATACAGCTAGAAGATATCCATTCTTTGGATTTCCTATGCCAAGACCTAATGTGGACGACAAATATCACAAGAAAAATCTAAAAAATTCAAATTTTTGTTGAAGTTATGAGCTTTTTAATATAGAGAAGAGGGCAAAAATGTGTACGGTACTAATTTGTGTAAACAGTCCAAATTATTTAAATCGCTTCGTATTGGAAATGTAGGAATTCTGGCATATATTTTATTTTATTCATTTTTTTTTTTTTTTTTTTGATTCTTGTAAAACAGAATATAGAGAATCATTTAAAATGATTTGTTCGTCGATTTTGCATTTGGTTTTCTTTATATTGGGCTTTTATTTCCCAGAAACATGTACTGTATCTCCGGAAGGATGTGACGATGTCAAATGTTGTCCATATCCAATCTAGAATAGTTGCTTTAAATCTGTAAACAGAAAATTTTTCTATAATTACGAAAAAACAGGACTCAAAGGGTTAAATATACTGTTAATTTTTTGAGCAGGCCTTAGTGTCTTAGTCTTATATTCGAGGACTGATCACGTTCTATAAAATATTTCCTTCACACCCTCTCAATATTTTAGAAAGGTGCAATTGATTTTTTCTTCAAATGGACTGTTACTGGCAGTAATATTTCATTGTGACCAAATCCATAAAACGAAATCGTCTATTACATTCGCTCAGAGACCAATCTCGTGGAGGTCTCTCAATAAAGGCAGTTGGTCCACATTGATACCGTGCGTGAATTGACAATTCAAGACCTTTATGAACTTTCAGGAATCCTTGAGCATTTCATACGTCAGCATATTCTCGAATCCAGCACAATTTTACAATCACCTGGTGCAGAAATTTTTGTAATAAATAAAAATATTGCGGCCCTTGAAAAAAATTTATAAATAATATCACCACTTGTGCCGAATTATGGATCTCTGCATATGAACCCGAAACTGAACAGTGTGAACTTTCGAAGACGAGTCAAACCCAACGAAAGTTGTACTTGGACGTACCTCGGCCAAACATATCATAAGGTAACTGTTCCTCTTGCGAAATGTAGGTCAATCAATACGGGGGTACACCAAAATATTGTTGTGTGTCATGTCATGAGGCGACTGTTCCGCTTGAGCAATGTATGACGGTCGTTTCTGAATGGTACATCAACATTTCATTGCCTAAAGTTTTCTATTAAATTCGAAAAAAAAAAACAAACACTTCGAAGCAAATGGTCCCCAGTTTCTTCGGCCAATCTGGCTTTGTAGGGACTGTTTCCCTTGAACCATGTAAGACAATTAATTCTGAATGGTATATGAAAATTTCATTGACTGAAGTCTTTAGAGAAATTAGAAAAAATATGAGCTCTCACACATTAGCTGAAAGTAATGCCTTTTTGACCGTTCAAAATGTGGACATGATGGATCATCAGCTGTACAGCCCTGATTTGGTATCCAATGACTTAGTTTTATTTTCACACATAAAGGAAAAAATTAAAAAAAAAATATTCCGGTTCTTTATCAAGGGTCACATTTGACAAATCTTCGATCTATGTGTATGAGTACGAAACGAAACAGCAATCAACCGTTTGGGTCTTCGAAGACGAGCCAAGTCTAATGAAGGTTGTCTGTTTGTCCATTATAATTTGTAAACACGACACAGGCCACAGATATGAACCAATCTTCACGAAATCTTGCATGTAGATTGGTTACAACCAAAGAAGGAACCCATTGTTTTTGGTAATGATCCGTTTATATTTATGGGATCAAATTACCCAAAAACTTTATTTTTGTCTATTTGTCTGACCTTTCTAGAGGACACAATTATGACCCGATCATTACGAAATTTTACGTGGGAAAAAAGATATGGCCATAGAACAGTCATGGCTCTTTTCATAAGAATCGGTCAATTTGTAGCGGGTAAAATAGAACCAAACTTTTGTGTGAAAAATGGAAAATTTTACCTTCAAGGGCGTGTATATCCTAAAGAACATAGACCGGAGAAGTTGACAGTATATCCAAGATGAGTGGTGGTTCTTTAAATGGATACCAATTGTAGCTACTCAGATTGGGGGAAATATTCGGATATTGTTCAGTATTATTACCTATACCATACTGGCTGCCGGAAATATCGCGTTTACCGTTTTTAAATTTTACAAGTTCCGATTATGGCCATGTTTTTTGTGAAGTTCAAATGCTGTTCAGGGGATGAAATCGACGGAAAATATTTTTTTAGTCGCTCTAGAGGCCACAATTTTAAATCGAACATTATTACTTTAATACGGGGAGGGGGCCAGATGCCTGTTAGAATGGTTGTTTTGATAATGATCGAATGACAACATTTCCATTTTATGGGATAAATGTTCACTCCGTGCAAAATTAATTCGGTAAAGATGCAAGGGTAAAACAGAGAAGCGGTTAACAGATTGAAAATATGACAAAATATTGCCCAGTCTCAGAATATAAATCCTCAGAAAGTTAAAGTTTATTGGTAGTTGTGTAGGGTATCATATGGTCGGAGCCGTCCGACTATACTGCTCCGCTCACATGAAAATGGAATATATAACGGTAGCAATTGTCATATTTTTTTAATGTATTCCCCTTTTCCATTTCTAAAACCCCAGTCTGAATGCAAGGATGGTGAAAATTGTTCTTCCAGAAATTATTTTCATTTAGGTTTATGTTTTAACAGAGCTAGCACAGTTTTATTTATACTAATGGTACTAATGAAATAATGGAGTTGACATTTAAATGTCCTGCCAATTTGTATATATCGCAGAAGAACCATTTTCTACTAGAATCGGTAGAACCATTTTCTAATAGAATCGGTTTTAATTTGTATATTTTCAGTCTTATGGCTAATCTATGGATTTTATTACGGCAAAAATGTGTCTCATCGAATTGGTTTTATGAACCAAATCCGTTACAGACAATTTTGAGTCGATTTACAAATGTCCACCCGTCTAAACGGCTGGTGCGCACGAAGTGAGTTGCCGATTTCATACGACATATGCGTAATCGTACTATCGAAAATGGATTATATCGGTCCACTCTTTCACGTGCCTACCCCACAAAATAGTCAAAGTGTCGGTGAACATTTATTTGAATAATGCTGAAAGATGAGACTTATTGGTGCACTCCTTTTAGTAGCTCCTCTACAAATGGTTCAATTTCATCGAAACTTGGCACATCGTAATATGTTTATCTTACCTACATGATGTCCGAATATGGAATCCGTCAGTCTACTTCTTCTGATAAATCCCACCCAGTGTCAAATGATTGTCTAGCGAATTGATTGCCCGATTTAATGCCAACTTTGTAAACTATAATATTTTACCAAATCTAAAACGAAACGAAACAATTCGAACGAATTACTACCAAACCTTTATTTATATAAAAAATGTTTCTTGATTCAAAACAAAAATAAATGACATATTTTTCAAAACCAAGGAGTTTGGTCGTAAGTCACTCGAATTCGTTCGTTTAGAATTTTACAAAAACAGGCTATAAGTGCGAAGAGAGGAACCTTCGTTCCACTCTCATTGGTACCTTCTATTAAAAATAATAAAATCTGTGTGTAAATTTGTAGACCGTCGCAGACCTTCGAAGGCTATAACCTCAGCCTCTGGTCGGTAAGTAACAACAACTACCACATTTTTAGAGGCTGCTTAGCTTGTACAACAACTGAAATACAGATACATTATTATCCATATAAAGATTATATACACCTTTCTCTAAGCACATTAATAAATTCCGTTTGCATATGATCGGTTCTCTAAATTTTTGAATCCGATTTTATATTTCAATAGCACCTTTATAATTCAAATAACCACATTCGACTACAAAAAAGGAAAAAAACAAATAAATTCCTAACATATAAAACTGGCCCTACATTTATGAAATGCATTAGAGTTTGGGAATACACTTTAGAGGTAAATGGAGAGCATTTTAGGGTTAGTGGTTGGTTTTATGGTAAGGGATATGTAGGTAAATGTTTCTTTTTGTTTTGGATTTTTGTTAGTTTTTTTTGGTTTTTTCTTTTACTTTGCATGGATATTTTTTTATGTTGTTGTATTGAAGCGAACATACTTTGATAATATATATCACTTTTGCCATTGTTGTTGTTGCTATTAGCCCCATTATATATATCCGTATCGATGATATCCAAATCTCTGCTATTCGCCGTTGTCATTGCCGCCATATGCCGTTGATGGAATTCACTCATATTGAACGGATACAAGAGTACACCTTGCAGGCTACTGAAGCCATTGGCTGCCGCTGCACCCAAACTGCTCGAATAGTGGATGCTGTTGGTGGTCGCAATTAACGGTGTATCGATCAAATTCAAATTATCTTCGAAGATTTTCTGATGCAATTTATCGTCCATGCCCATAATTCTAACTGGAAATTCAAGGTATGAAGAAAAAAAATGTAGAACAAAGACGAACAAACGAGAAAACGAACACCACAACGGAATGTAACGGAAAAGTAAACACACGTGTGAATGAAGTAAAGGAAAAAAATGGAAAGAAAAACAAGAACGAAATGAATGATATATATTTTTTGTTTAAAAAAATGTGATATGTGTGTGAGAGAGAGAATTATTTGTAGTTTGTTTTTTTTCATTTTTTATTTTACTTTTTTATTTGGGGTTTTGTAATGACTCTTAGTTTTGGATTTTAAGTCTCTAACGAAAAAAAAACGTAATATGTTTACGCCTGTGTAGTTTTCCCTATTTGAATTCATGGAGTTTTTCTTTTAGATTTTTATCTAAAACAAAAATGTTTCCAAAACTAAAACACAAAAATAATGTAAAAATGTAACAAATCTAAACTCATAAACTAAAACTAAACTGAAGTTTGTTTTTCGTTTTGTTTTTTTCACTTGATGAAACATAAAGTTACAAAAAATTACAACAACAAAATATATATAAATGAAATATATACTTTTTGTATATTTTTAAAAAATATGTTGTATAAAAATTATGTGCAATTATTGAAAAATGTTATGGAAAAAACATTGAAGTGCTCTGACGTAAATTATGGTGCCATTATATGCGAATTTAAATATTCGTTATTATTAAATATTATTTATTTAAAAATATATTTTAAATTTCTTAAAAATAACTCACCTTGTTTGGCTGTAGAAATGTCTGTATATATTATAAAATATTTTTAGTTAAAATATAAAATATAGAACATAGGTAATAATACTCATACGTTATATGGTCCCCTTTAATGAAGTAATTAGATTTCAGTACATTAATCATACGACCTATAGTACCTTGTGAGATCGCCATCATTTTACAGATGTATGTAATTATACCCTCCACCATAGTATGGAGGGTATATTAATTTTGTCATTCTGTTTGTTACTCCTCGAAATATTAATTTCCGACCCTATAAAATTCTAGGACGATCTAGCCATGTCCGTCCGTCTGTCCATCCGTCCGTCCGTCTGTTGTAATCACGCTATCTTCTGAAGGAATTGAGATAGGGTGCTGAAATTTTGCATAAGTTTGTCTTTTGACTGCAGGCATGTCAAGTTCGAACCCCCAAATTTAACAGTACCCCCAAATTTTCGGTATGTTGGGGTTCTTGAGCGCGTTTTTCGACCGAATACGCTGAAATTTGGTACATTGAGTTCTTATTCAGTACTAAATGTCTCCACAAAAAATTATAAATATAAAGCTTATTTTTTGTTCACCTGTACTTGTTTCATTTTTGGGGGTTTTGACCCCAAATTGGCTGTTTTAGTATTTTGAGTTCGTAATAGGTTTCAAATCGATCCCATTACCTGCATTTTACATAGAAAGGTCTTGGTTGATTTGACCTGCTGAATATTGTCCGATCATTACAGTACTTCTAATTTTTTTGAACTAGTTTTGTCCAAAGAAGCATTCTCCCCCCATGTGTCGTGTTGTAATGTTCGGCTTACAATTGTGTTAATATCATCCGATCTTTAACGAAAAATAAAAGCGTCGTTATTGACTACATTCCACATTTCCTAGCGCGACATTTCTCCTCTCTAGTGTGGTAATTGAAATACTAAGTAATATCAGAATTTCTAATGGTTCAATATTTCGAGCCTGAGCATTATTTCGCGATATTTGACCTATTAGAATTCAAAGCTTATTTTTTGTTCACCCTTGTTTCATTTGTTCATCCAAACATTTACGTAACTGGTATCAATTTATATAAGGTCATTGATTTGATCTACTGAATATTGTCCGATCATTAGCAAAACAGTGCTTCTAATTAACTAGTTAACCGGATACTCCTCCCTATGTGTCGTGTTGTAATGTTCGGCTTACAATTGTGTTGTGATTGTGATCTTTAGCTATATAATACAAATTTTGTCATATTTCACACAAAAGTACCAAAACTGTCAAGCTTAAGCCATGGTCAGATCCCATTCATCTGTAAAATTTTGTTATTTTCGGGTCATAGTTGTTGCCTCCGTTGTGATCAGAAAACAGACAAAAATAATGTTGTTGGTCCATTTCATCCCCTAATTAATTGCCGATCATTACCAAAAACATTAGGGATTTTCTTTATACAACATAGTTGCGTAGGGTATAAAAATTGGCTTTTAAAGTACCGTTTCTAGAGTAATGGCAAATATATAAAACCTTTGTAAAGCCACATAGTCCAATATGCCGGATTTCGTCCAAGGACGAAACAGCTTTCCTTTTCATTTCAAATTTTCGATCATTAAACTCAAGTCGTAAGAGGAAAACTACCAACCATACATTAAAAATTTTGTACTATATAGATTCATGATTTTACATAGCTCCCATATAAATGTCTAGCCAGTATTTCGAGGGTTGTAGCCACATCTTTCCACTGCCCTAGTTTGGCAATTTCTACTTGAACAATTATCTACTTAGACAATTACATTATATAGGTTAATGTTTTGGCATATTCCCCATATAAAATGTTCGGTCTTTTGATGTACCGCAAAAATACAAAATCACAGCCAACTCGGTTGGAAATCTGTCTAAAATTCCCAAAAATACAGAGTAATGCGATGTACCGTTATATGGGGGCTACCCTGATACTTGGGTCAATATTATTAGGTTTTATACCCTTCACCACACTGTGGTAAAGGGTATTATGTCTTTGTTCATATGATTGTAACAGGCAAAAGGAATCGAGATAGACCAATGGAATCGAAATATACCCATGGTTTCTGTCCGTCCGTCCGTGTATTTTTGTGAACAAAGTACAGGTATTTATGATCCGATTTGGATGAAATTTGGCACAGTTGGAGAAATTGGAGAAAATCGGTTCAGATTTAGATATAGCTCCCATATATAGTTTCGTCCGGTTTTTTTTGTGCATGATACACCAAACTACCAATATTTGTCCGCTTGGGACAAAATTTTGCACAGAGTACTGAATTAGGTCGAGACTGATGTCTGCGAAGTTTTGTTAAGATCGGTTCAAATTTAGATATAGCTCCCATATATAGTTTCGTGATATGATACACCAAACTCCAAATATTTGTCCGATTGGGACAAAATTTTGCACATAGTACTGCATTAGGTATCCACCGATGTCTGTGAAGTTTGGTTAGAATCGGTGCAGATATAGATATAACTCCCAAATATAGTTTCGTTCGATTTTTTGTGAATGATGCACCAAACTCCCAATATTTGTCCGATTGAACAAAATTTTGCATAGCGAATGCAAGTTTGTTGAAATCGGCTTACATTTTGATATAGGTCTTATATATATTTTCGTACACCACAATGTTCAATGGTATTTCAATTTGCTCATAATAAACACAAATTGTGAACGATACCCAGGACATCAGGTAAATTAAAAAACAACCATTGGGATCCAATTTTTTTTTTTTTGCTAGCCCTTTTCTATTTTCGCTGTCTCTTATTTAGCGTCATTTGTTTTCTTTTGTTACTTAAAAAAACAAATACTATTTGTTCAAAAATGACTTTGAATTTGAGCTGCATAGCAGGAAAGGAAGCAAGGAGTTGAGAAAATATTTGTTTAACACATATTTTCTATGACTCGGAGTATGCTATCCATTCTATTATCCTATGAACGTCATCATTATTCTCATCGATGGCATCATGACAGACAACAACAACATGAACTGTATCGCGTCAATGATATTGAGACATCATCTACATCGTGGTCCAGCGATAGAATGAATGTTTAACTAAGCTCCGGCAGAACAGCGAAACAGTAAAAGGATAAAGAAAATATTACAATGAACAGTTTAGTTTATTGTGTTTTGTTGTAGGACGTTGTCTTGCATTGTTTGCCATGATAATATTGTGAATAGAAACCCTGGCCAGGTGATGTATATCTTAACGAAGCACCATCAGCCAGGACATGATTGAAAGGTACATAGGAAAAGAACAACAATATTCTAACGTCAGAAATGAAGAAGAAGTAAAGCTAACGAGATATAAAATGAATAACAGAAAAAATAGAAAACATATATCGTTGCCTATTTACAGGGGCTATTTATATGATTCTTTATGTAAAGAAGCTAATGGACAATTGTCATTGTGTTTAATGTAATAGAAATGAATATTCCTGGTCCTCGAATGGAAAATATATATTCTAGATTCAAAATCAAATAGTTTATAGGTTCGGAAATAATTATTATTTAGGTAAGATACACTTCAATTTATGTTGGAGAATATACAAAGCCTTATTAGGCATCACATGGTACTACATGGCGTATGATTAATGTAATTATTATTATTGAATGATTTTTAAATCCCCAACTATATGTTATAACTTTTACACACAAATAGCTTATGATAGTATAAAATGTGCCAAACATATGTTCTTTCAGCTTACTGCCTGCCTACATAACTTTTCACTGATTACCAAATGGATTTCCGATGGCATGTTTTACAACATTTTGCCATTGACACTCAATTAAAATTTGTAATTATATTATCATTTATTATAAATACATACATATGTATATATTTTTGTCACTTTTGCACACATTTTTTCCCCGCCACCACATAATTTGTTATCGATAATGTAACAACATATTTCATTTATTTGGGTTTCAGGCGATTAAATACTCACCATTATTGCATACATAAATATTTTAAGATTGAAAAATTATTTTTGAATTTAAATAAAAAGAAAAAAAATAACATATGTGGAATATTATCATTATTAACTGTCAATTGTTATTGCCCTTGTTGTTGTTATTGTGTTTTTATATTATTGCATATTTATTTTTTTGAAATAAACAAACACAAAAAAATAAAATTTTATTGGTTAACTTCATAAAATTGAATGATGACTCTATAATGGAATTTATTGCCTGGCAATTGCTTATGTGAAGATAATAAATTTAAATGGCGAATAAATTATAGATATACGAGTAGATAAATTATTACAAATAAAAAAGTGCATCTTGGGTGCATGCAGT